GTTCAAAAAATCTTTATGTGCATGTCTGTGTGTGTATGTTCACATGTGCACCTTTGTGTGTAATGGAACCACACAGGCCATGCAGACTTGAATTGTGTATGAACTGATGACCTGAAAGTGAAACTGTATATCCCATTACTGATCCCTTCATCATTACAGGTAATGATTGACTTTTTCAGTGCCCAGAAAATTGCACCTACACTTCATAAAGCTTTCAGCAGTTACATCATAATTGTTTTTTTTTAATAGACTACTAGAGTTAGAACTTCAAAAACTCTCATTATTTTAACGACACGGGGCTCTTGCTGTCCTCTGAACCATACCTGAATTTAATTAAACAATCAAGGTAAGAAATGTTTAAGTCACCGAGGGCTGAGCAAATCGGCATTAGATAAGCAGTTGAGATATGGGCATTGGCAGTGCAAGCAGTTGCAGGTGGTGGACTTAACAGAAGCTAAACTTGATACATCCAACACTGGGGTCTTCAATGTCAATGACTAACAGTGTTTGCTATTATTTTCTCTTAGAAGTGTATTGTTAATATTTCCTCCTATCACTTGGGCTCGGTCTAGATGGAAAAAGAGATTTTTCCAAACAAGAGATAAGTGCTTGTACTTGTAAGAGGGAATATAGATGGAAGAAGGACAGATGCTCTAGATCTGGATGAAGAGGAGTCCCACTCACTATAGAATTAACCTCCAGAAAATTAACAACTCCTTAATGAGCATCTGATGTTTAGAGGACATTGTGCAAGAGATAGAGGAACAGGAAGCTCAAAAGAGTCAATTTGCCCATGAAATAGCTTTTAATCTTATTGAAATAGGACATATCTGTAAGAGATGTGCAAATTAATTGCATGTGCTAAATGCCAAAATGAGTGATAATAATAGTTCTAACAATAATGGCAATAGTAATTATAGTACCTTCTCTTTGTGGAGCACTTTTTATAAATGTGCAGAGCAATTTTTCATGTATTTCAAACCATATAAACCACTCAGAACAATCTCTCATCTTCCTTCACTGGTTTAGCAGAGAGGCTATACTGAATATTCAGCAAATCTGAATGAACGGCATGGGAGGAGTGAGTTGGGGAGTGAGCAAGTGAACAAATGAGTTTTTTAAAGTACATCAAATGAGAGAGGGTGTGGCATAGAAGACTCAGTAATTATACTCTGTGAATTTTATTTGAAGACAAACACATTTATTCAGTTCATTTATTTAATAACTTTGTTCTTGAAAAGGGGATTATAGGTTTTCTATATGGATGAAACATTATAAATAAACAGCATGCCTTTATCTTATCCTTTGCAATAAGCTCCAAGCAAAGTCAGTTTTAGAGTTTGGTACCTTAAGAATTAAAAGACAACTTTAAATCTACTAGGTCTGTATAAAAATCATATTTCACAGGTGCTGCTTACCTCTTCAGTTTTGCTTACATTCAAAGGACATTGTTTAGGGTAGAGGAGTATTTCCCCATGCTTTCAGCCATAGGCTTTCTAATCTTTAACTCGAAGAAAGATTTCAGTTAATGTCCGGACAGTTTCTTCTATTAAACTTAGTTGTTTTCATCTCCAAAACATCTTGAGGTTTATACTGGGGAATCTGACCTAAACATAGAAATTGCTAAGAACCAGCATTTAGGTTTGTGTTGGAAAATGGAGGAAGAAAGACTGGAAGCAGAAGCGAGAATGTGTGTTCTCTGCATATATGTGGATTGAGTCAGAATTGCTCTTAAGCAGGTGGGGAAGGAAGAGTGTCCTGGTTAAATTAAATCTCATGACACAGGATGTGTGGTTTGCTACATGCAAGTGTAGAAGAATTGGCATAAACATATTGAGGAACAAGTTATACATTTTGGAGAATATGTCATCTATTTGGAAATCCCCGTTTGCAAAGGGAAGTCATATCGTTTAACGGTTAGCACCCTGGGACTCAGATACATGGTGGTTCTCCCACAGCCTGAGAGTGACTAGGGCACATTGCCTGGTCTTCCCTTACCTACCTTTCTATCTTCAAAACCAGTGGAGCCTGTGGAATCCTTAGCAGGTATGTGCATGCACAATTAAAATGATATTATTTGAGTTGAACATCTCTATTATATATTAGTACTTATGCTGAAATACTTGATTTGCATGATCATTTCAGACCATTAAGACAATATTAAAACACATTTACTGTGCTCAAAAGTATGTATAATCTATCATTTTGTTTCCTGTTTGTTTGTTTATTTAGTATTTATGGACCTATTCTCTGGACACAATTTGCATTCTGCTAGCAAAGCATTGTTTAGGATTCTATAAAAGGACTAGTGATCTAAATCCCCCAAATAGCTAACAGAAAGATAAAATAAAAGTGGCATACTAGAGAAAAAAAGTGAGGGCGTTAGGCATTACAAGAGATACAGTCAGGGAAAATGAGGGACATGTTCTCAAAAGAAGCAGAATTGGCTTGCTAATATTCACTTCAAGCATACTCAGCTAGTGATGTTAGATGTCTTTTGAGCATTTGATGTTGATATGTGCACACCACTGGTTTGTGGCTGTGCTCTGTCATTAACCTGAACTCTTCTTGCTGGGTCAGGAGGCACTGGGTGATCTGACAGATATGTACACTATCAGGGCAAGCCTGTGCCACAGACATCATTGGTCTGGTGATTCTCAGACTGTACTCCAGGGAACCTCAGCAATTAGAGGGTCACTTCTTACCAATTATATTAATTGTCATTCTTTCTAAATTATTTTGTTTGTTCCTGTGTCCAAAAGTATTTGAAACCCATTGACCTTTGGCCAAACACACACACATGCAAACACACACACATCATATATATATTATCCTATCTAATAATAGACAAACATGGTAATTAACCATACCTCCAACATGCTTCCCATTGGCTAATCAGGGCTATATGCAAAGTAACTGCCAACCAAGATGGCGGCCGGCAGCCAGGCAGCTGAAGCGAACAGGAGGCTTGCTTGCTCCAGTGATGGAGGAAGCCAAGGTTC